TCTTCTCCGTCGATGAACAGGTGAGCTCTTCGGATTCTCGCTGCGAGGAGATGCGGGCGGGAGCGAGTCATATCAACAATGGCAGCGCAAGCCTACTGTGATTTGCAGGCCTTCTGCGCACGGCCTCGAGCAGGCCACAGGCATTTAGCTTCAAACACATCGGGTCGGAAAAGATGAGGGACGCGTTCGGTCGCTGCGTCGCGCGGTTCGCGCTCGCGTTGGACTTGAGTGACGTGCGGAGAAAACAACGGTATGTACATTCTAGTGGAGCATCCTGCGGGTGCCTCGAGCCGGGCCGCGTCGCTTGTGCAGGCGCTGTTAAATCGCGATGGACTGCGGCCGCGCGATGGAGATCCGCGGCGCCGCGACATAAAGCGGCATGTAACATGGGAGGATGTGTTCGAGGAGAAAAGGCGCGGCAACGCAGAGCGATGGGAGGGCAGGCGCGTCCTGGCCGGCATTGTCAAGCTATCCTTCGTCCGAGTAAACCAGGTGACCGCCGATGATTGATCGGGGCGTTCTCTCAGGACTTGCGCGTCGAAGATCTTTGCGAGTGAACCAGGCGAGGGAATTGCAAATCATGTAATCTGGCAAGAACCAGACGAGCGTAGAAATGGGCTTGCTTTATTTAACCTGGACTCGACAAAGATCATGGCGCATCTAGTCGCGTGCTTCCAGGGCGTTCACGGCCAGCATGGAGCGCGCGCATTCGCGGAGTCGCGCGGGACTTGTTCGCTGCCCAGGTGCTCGAGGGCAGGGGGGCCTCGCAGGATGGAAGTAGCGGGGGGGCGAATGCAGTGGTGGAGCGCGCAACGTCGCCAATGGATGCGCCCGCCAAGTTGCCCCGGGGCGCTCAATCTCGCCGAGGGATCTGTTGGCGGCGCCAACGCTGAGGTTGGGCGTTCCCTGGGCGAGCGGAACACGCGGGGGCGTCGATGTGGCGCGGCCCGCGACTGGAGGCGCCGCTTGGTCAAGCAAGTCATTGGGTCGATGCGCCAGGGGGCGCGCTCGATCCAGAACTCGCTCTCAAGTCTCGGAGGGGGGGCGGGGGTAGATGACACCGCGGGAAGCACGAGGTCCATGGGAATGCGAAGGGGGAGGAATGTAGGGCTGGCGCCAGCAAGGCCCCCATAGGCTCGCGGTGGATTGATTTCAGCGAGGGCGACGAGAGCAACCCTGAGCGCTGGCCCCGGCGCGCGGCCCAGCAATTTCAGTCAAACTCCAAAGAAAAGCACGAGTTCAGAAATTGCATTTTCTCCATGGCAGTTACCGTGGGCATTGGGCATGACCGAGAGTGACACGAGAATGACATCGAGCTGGTATAGGCGTTATGCGGGCGCACTTTGGCGCCGAGACCAAGTGCGACATCGTCGCCAGGTTGCTCTCAACAAATCGTTATATGGGCATGCGTCGGTAATTGAGTCCACGTGCGGCACTCTGGGTGCCGTCGGCACCTGGTGACCGGCATGTGGGGTTTTGCGCCATCGCCATGTTTGTTCAAACGTATTACACGGCGGATGTTGCACGCATTCGATGAGACGAGTGTATCCCATCGGGCTATGTTTAGCATCTTGGCACGTTCGATGTGACATCCAATGGGGAAGTCTTGGTTTTGACCAGGTCTGAAATGAGCGCAGACGATCCGGATCCTTAACTGAATTGTGGAATGGGGCCGGGATGGTGCATAGTATGAGGCGAGTTAACGGCGCGCTAAACTATCGGCGGCAAAAGAAGGCCTGCGCAATGCGAAGTGAGAGGTGAGATGCCGTGTGGCAAGCAGTCTGGCGAAGCAGAAGACGAGGGGCCCTTGCCACATCATGAACTCACGAAGTATGGAGCACTGGTGGCTCGCCAAATATCTCGCACAGGGCCCTTCAGGCATGCAGTTTCCCGTCAAGGGGCTTGCGCGCTCTATGTCATCCCCGGGCCGCGGGGCATGGGGGCGCCTGGTCAAGCTGGGCAAATGCTTCAATGACCGCGACAGGTGGGGGCACCAGCACTTGAATCAGAAGTGCCCAAAGGACTTCACTGGGTGGGCTGGCAACGGCTATGCCAGGCGTGAAGTGACGCGTGCGTCAACAAGTGGAGGAAAGCATCGCGTGGAATATACGTGATACGGTCGTGGAGTTCAGAGCTTCGTGGCAGCGCCTGCTGGGCAAGCGGAGCATTTCGGAATGGTGAACGGTGGAGTAACGACGGCGGGGCTGCAGGGAGTCTTCAAATATGTTTGCGTTGATGGCGGCAGCGCGGAGATGAGTGCTGCTAGGGCGCCCGTTGCCATTGTGACCTTGCGAGGGCCAGGGGCGGGCAGACACGTCGAGTTTTGTCAGTTTCGGTTACAGGAGAAGGTGCGATGAGGGGATATCAAGGTGATCAAGGGATGTGCGCATTAGAATTTCGCGCGCTAGAACAGACTTTGTTAGCAGGGGCGATATGTCCAGGCGCGCGAGAGGCACCAATCAACGCATTGTGAGTTGATGGCATGAGTGAGCGCCCGCTTCGGAGTGTTAGCTTAGCCCATCTCCCGGATGTACTTGCGCGCCGTTTTGGCTGGGACTCGAACCGAGGACCAGTTGAGATCCAGGTGCTTGTCTACGCACAAAGTATAGCTGGCCACCATCGGTCATGGTAGCGAGCGAACGCGCATTCTTAAACAAAGCTTCGGCAACACCGTTGCCTGACTAAAGCGAGATGAACATGTTAGTACATTGCGCCGCCGAATCAAAACAAGACGAAACATCATTTAGTAATCGCAAGAACCGGTTTACAACATCAGATGCGGATTCTCTGAACCAGGTGCCTTTTTCAACATCCCAGATCCTACCTATACGACCACCTTGCAGGTGATAAGGAGGTTTGGAGTGGGGGCCAGCAATGGGCAACAGTGGTGATTGTTGCGTTGCCGCTGGCTCTTGGGACCATCGAGCCCACTATCGATCTCACCCGATCGATCTGACGATCGATCTCACTCGATCGATTTCACTGGCGATCTCACTTTTGATCTCGCTACCGATCCCACTATCGATCTCCCTATCGATATCTCTCGATCTCACAATCGATATACTTATTCATCACGCTATCGATCTCACGTTTGATCTCACGAGCGATCCCACTATCGGTCTCACTGTCGATCTCACGATCGATTTCACAATCGATTTCGTCATCGGTCTCACGATCGCTTTCGCACCAGCGGGACACCAGGACACTGGCGGGACACCGGCGGGGCACCGCGGGCCACCGCTTGCCGGCGGGAAAATAATTTGGTCCAGCGGGGACCCAACCACAAGCGGGACACCGGCGGGACACCGGCGGGCAACCGCTTGCCGAAACAAGAAAAAGGGCCGGCCGCGCCTCAGCCACAGGAGACTTTCCCCTCGCCCGCCCACGCATTTTCGCTTCGCCCGCACGCACGGCACGCACGAACATGACACCGAAACCGATCTCCCGGTGGGGGGTTCTCCGTTCCACTTCGATCTCACACCCCAACATCCGATCATTACCGCGACCTCAATGGCCCGATGAATTCTGAGGATGCTAAGTATTATGCCTGACATGGTGCTTTACGACACCTAATGTTTTATTGTGCCGCGCATGGAAAGACACCGCTTGCTGCGTTTACAAGTGCTTTACGTGCCTAAATTCGACACAGGGCGTCGAATGGGTTTGTTGTAGCAATATTAATCATCTATTGTCTTGGTTTTTCGCACGTCTCTGTGCCATTCAGCTCCTATCCAGGTTGTTTTATTTCAGTTTTTCACCCGTCGTATCATTCGGCAACAACTGGCCGAGGCGGGGAGTTAATACATGGCCGTGCGACCGTGTGAGGAGCAGTACTACGCGCTCCGCTGTCAAGTGTTAGCGGTGCCGCTGTCCAAACGCAGCTGGGTCACCAGCTACGAAGCATTGACGCTGATATTTGGCTCAAGTGCAATTTCGCCTCCTGTTGAGAAGCTCCTGCCAGATTGTCAAAGACGACCATGACTACGACCGTTGTCGGGACCACGGCCACAATCATGACCACGATCACGACCACGACGACGACAACGACGACGACCACAACTACGATCACGACCACGCCTGAGACCCTGGGCCCCGACCCCGACGACGACGACGACGATGACCCTCCCATCCCGCCCGCCCACCGTAATTCCCGACCGCCCGTTGTCCATCCCGCTTGAATGTTCCCCCCGACCCGCCCGACCGACCCCCGCGTCGTCGTCGTAGTCATCTTCGTAGTCAACTTCGTAGTCATAGTCATAGTTAGTCGTATGCATGGTCGTTGTCGTCGTCTTGGTCGCCTTCGTGGTCGCGGTGTCCTCGTCCTCGTCGTTGTCGTCGTCGTCGGTGTCGTCGTCGTCGTAGATTGCCGTCGGTTTGTCGGGGGGTCTTCGAACGTTTTTTCCCCAACCATGTTGTGGTGTTGGGCCCCCCAGTGTTGAAGGGGCAGCTCCCCGCGTCCCACTCTTCCTCTCGCTGCCCCCTCCCTTTTCCTTCTTCCCGTCACCCCCTTCACTTTGGCACATCCCTCAAACTCTTCGTGCTGCAATAAGGAGCTCCACCGAAGGCCCCAGTGGGGGTGCCCGCATGCGCCCCCCCCCCCCACACCCAGTACAGCGGTTCGTGGCCCTACAAGGGGGCTCTACCGAAGGTCCCAGTGGGGGTGCCCGCATGCGTCCCCCCCACACACTACATCGCTTCGTGGCCCCATAGGGAGCTCCACCGAAGGCCCCAGTGGCGCAGTCCGCATGCGTCCCCTCCCGCCCAGCACAGCGCTTCGTGGCCCCATAGGGAGCTCAACCGAAGGTCCTAGGGGCGCAGCCCGCATGCTTCCCCCCCCCACCCACTACAGTATTTCGTGGCCCCGTAGAGGGGTCCACCGAAGGGCCCAGTGGGTGGGTGTCCGCATGCATCTTCCCCACCCAGGACAGCGTGTCAGGCGAAGCGAGGCGTTGGCGAGGAGAGGCTGCCCCGCCGCGCGGTGGCTCGCGGGTGGTCGCCGCAGCCGTTGGCTCGAGCTGCCGTGCACGCTCGGGCTCCAACCCGCCGCGGACAGCGGGTGCGACGCGCGCGCGCGTGCGCGCGGGCGCCGTGTGCGCGCGCGCGGGCCGTCGGGCGCATGGCCTCCGGGGAGGCTGGCGCCTTTGTATTGAGGGGCCAGTTCTCCACCACCGCTACCAGAGGTAGGGCGGTGGAGGACAGGAGGATGGGGAGGGCCTCCTCCGCTCCTCCTCCTCCTCCTCCTCCTCCTCCTCCTCCTCCTCCTCTTCCTCCTCCTCCTCCTCCTCCTCCTCCTCCTCCTCTCCTCCTCCTCCTCCTCCTCCTCCTCGCTCTCCTAACTATGGTAGTGGTGGTGGTGGAAGTCGGCCCGTCACGCATGGCCCCGCACGAGTTCAACGTGGTGCGGGAGGGGCTGGCCACCACCGAGGACCAGACTCGGCTGTGCACCCTCGGGGGCCCTTCCTGCCCCGTGAGCGGCGGCCTTCTCTTGGACTCCGACGTGGGTTCGGCGCGGGTTCGACGTGGGTTCGACTCGCGGAACGGATTCGACACGGATTCGAGGCGCTCGGCACGGATTCCACAGCTATTCGATGCGGATCGCGGCGCGATGGGACAGACAAGGTCCCCCAAAGATTCAGCACAACCTATTCCCTCTGGCCCAGACCTCCAGCGCTGTGCACCAGAAGCAGCACGCAGGTTTCTCGCCGTTTTCGGCCCTGGGAGGTGGGCCTTCACGGGGCGCCCCGAGCCGTCAGAGCACGGCTCCGGCTCAGGATGGAATGCCTGCTCTGGGGAAAAGGGGTCGGCTGCCCGGGGCCCCGTACTGGATCCCTGGGTAAGGTGATGCGGGGACAGCGGATGGTGGTTGGACTGATGTTTTTCTGCGAGGATGTCTCGAGCGCACGGGGCCGCTGCAGTCCCCAAGCCGTGCAGTGACACACCGTGCTGCTTCCTTGTCCTTCCTGCTTCTCTCTCCTGGGCTGCCGCTGTTGCTGTAGTAGTAGTAGTAGTAGTAGTAGTAGTAGTAGTAGTAGTAGTAGTAGTAGTAGTAGTTGTTGTTGTTGTTGTTGTTGTTGTTGTTGTTGTTGTTGATGAACATTATTACTTCTAAAGAATAATTGTTGTTGGGACCCCTGGTGCATGGCCCCCCCGCCGCGCTTAGGCCGCAGCCACGTTTTCATCATTTTCGTGAGGAAGTCTCAGGCAAAACGGGTTGGTCCGGATCCGGTTGTTTTGTTACGGGCGGTTTTCCTTCGCAAAAAATGAGCTAAAGTGGACACTTCTTGTTTTAACATAACCAAACTTCAATAATCCCTTGCAAAAAAAATAAGGTAAAGTGGACATTCGCGCGCGCAAGACGAAATCCTTCCAAAACCTTTGTTTTCGTAGCGATTTTAACATAAAAAACATTAAAAAATCATTGGTTTTCCAAAAAAATGTCAACATTTCATCCCGCGCGCTCTTGCGGATTCGTAGGAAACCCAACACTTTTTCAACATTTCTGTCAAACGGGCTTTTGCGAGCAACTTTTTCAAACTTCTGCAACAACGGTTGCGCACCTGCCAGGGCCATCATCCCTGTCAAATAATACCATGCGGGACACATTCGTTTTTTCTTCGCGCGCGCACGCCGTCGTCGTCGGCCGCGGGGCCCTGAATAGTAGCCACGGTCGTCCGCATGCCACGAAGTGAAGTGTCCGAACGTCATAGGGCGGGAAGCTGGGTGTGGGTGGTGGCGAAGAGTCGTTTGGAAATTTGGTAGAGCTTGAACCGGCCCCCCCACAAAGTGGGGGTATTGCCCGCCTCCTATGAAAACCCTGGCACTGGTGAGAACGGAGTGTCCCCACGTGCTAGTAATTGTTGTTGTTGTTGTTGTTGTTGTTGTTGTTGTTGTTGTTGTTGTTGTTGTTGTTGTTGTTGTTGTCGTCGTTGTTGTTGTTGTTGTTGTTGTTGAACCTTAATTACTAAACAATTATTATTGTTGGACCCCCTATATTCGCCCTGTCGCTCTCGCCGAGGCGCCGGCCGCATTTCCCCTGAAATTGAGGCTCACGCTCAAGCGTTTTGGGGTTCCGCCAAAACCGGCCCCCCAACAACAACAACGCTCCGGCTCGAGACTTCCTCCTTTTTTACTCGGGCTCGGTGCTCTTGCTCGCCGCCGAGAGCGGCTCCCGGGCCGGACGCCCGGGTCGGCGCCCGAGCCGGCGCCCGGGCGCCGGAAAATCGAGTTCCGAGGCGGCGCCGAAAAAAGGCCATTCCAATACACATTTTTTTTCGAGAATGCTGAATTTCTGCTTCCGGCGCCCGGGAGGGAGGCCGTCCGGGCCGATTCCGGAGCTCGGGCCGGCACCCGGCCCGGCTCCCGGGCCGGACGCCCGGGTCGGCGCCCGAGCCGGCGCCCGGGCGCCAGAAAATCGAGTTCCGAGGCGGCGCCGAAAAAAGGCCATTCCAATACACATTTTTCTTTCGAAAATGCTGAATTTCTGCTTCCGGCGCCCGGGAAACCGTCCGGGCCGATTCCGGAGCTCGGGCCGGCACCCGGCCCGGCTCCCGGGCCGGACGCCCGGGTCGGCGCCCGAGCCGGCGCCCGGGCGCCGGAAAATCGAGTTCCGAGGCGGCGCCGAAAAAAGGCCATTCCAATACACATTTTTCTTTCGAAAATGCTGAATTTCTGCTTCCGGCGCCCGGGAGGCCGTCCGGGCCGATTCCGGAGCTCGGGCCGGCACCCAGCCCGGCCGGCACCCGGCCCGGCTCCTGGGCCGGACGCCCGGGCAGTTCCGATCGCGCCGAAAAGAGGCCATTCCAATACACATTTTTCTTTCGAAAATACTGAATTTCTGCTTGCGGCGCCCAGGAAGCCGTCCTGGGCCGATTCTGGAGCGGCCGTGGGCCGGACGCCCGAGCCGGCGCCCGTACGTGGTGCTTCTCTGCTTCTGGCGCCTGCGCAGCTTCCCGAGCCGCTTCTGGAACCATATCTGGGCCGGTCCAGCGATAGGTTTCCTGGATGTTCTGAACCATCCAACTTTTTGAGACTTCTGCGTCTCAAGGATAGGGAGAGAAGACATTGAAGGAGGATCAAAAAGCAACGTCGCTATGAACGCTTGGCTGCCACAAGCCAGACTACTACTACTACTACCGTTACCACTACTACTAGTGCTACAGCCGCAACAACAATATCATCAACTGCTGCTACTACAACTACTCATCCTTCCTCCCCCTCCTCCCCCTCCCTTCTCCTCCTCCCCCTCCCTATCTCTCATCTCCCCCTCCTCTTCCTCTTCCTCTCCCTCTGAGATGCGGGGCATGCGCAAGGCGATTGCGAAGGCGATGTGCCGTCTTAGCTATGGATGTTGAAGTTCCTCGGAAGAGGTGGTGGCCAAACCTTCTTGGGCGGGATATCTGGGTGAGGGAATATCGGATCCCGCATGCCAGAAAAATCCCCCATGATGGGGTGTGTTATCCAGATGGATGCATGTGTCATGTGGAAGCATGGCGCATGAGGGTAAAATGATTGTTGTTGTTGTTGTTGTTGGTGTTGTTGTTGTTGTTTTTGATGTTGGTGTTGGTGTTGGTGTCGGTGGTGTTGTTGTTGTGGTTGTTGTTGTTGTTGTTGTTGCTCCTGCTATTGTTGTTGTTGATTGTACCATTGCTGTGTTTGTTGTTGTTGCTGCTGTTGCGTGTTCGATATATTCCACAAGCGGCTGTTTGGGCAGCAGGGGATCGTCGTACCGCACTGCGCCCCCTCACCTTCTCCTCCTCATCGATACTATCCTGGGCTGCCGTTTTTATTACATTCTGCACGTGTCTGGTTTGCAGCAGGGGATAGTCGTACCGCGCCCCTGCCCCTTCGCCTCCTCCTCCCCCTCTTCCTCCATCGAGACTGTCGCGTCCAGCGAGCTTCGACTGTTCAGCGTGCTTCGGTGGAGGGTCTGGGGTGGTTTCGACGTCATCGCACGTCCTGTCGCCAGGAGGTTTTTTGGGGGACCCCGAAGAGGAGCTGGACTCTGTTTTCGCCAGCTTCCTGTCCAGCCCAGGGTGGAGGGAGATGGAGACGCGGACCTCCCGGCGCCTCTGCGACCAGTACACCTTTGACGGCGGCCGCGACTCGCCCCCGCCCCCGCACCTCGCCTTTGCCCACGGGTTGGTCCAGAGGCTCATGGGCCGGGTCCAGCAGGGCCTGGTGGACGACGAGGTCGTGCCCATGTCTCTCTTCTGCAACCTGTACGAGGACGGCGAAGACTCCTGCCCCAGCCACGTCCACGACTGCCGGCAGCTCACGATGTCGCTCGGGGCGGAGCGCACTCTCACGGTGGAGGGCCGCCCGGTGTGCATGAGGCACGGCGACGTTGTCATCCTGGACGGCGAACGGCACGGAGTGCCGAGGCAGCCTGGCGGGGCCATGCCGCGGGTCTCGATCAACCTCTTCTTCACGACGGCCCGGGACCTCGCGTCGCGGGAGGTCAGCGTCAACCACCAGGCCTGGAGTAGTAATCAGCCACAGTTCTCTGACCAGGCGTTGGGCCTATCAGCACCCTGCTGCCCCTCTGTACGCAAAACAGCGTCGTTGCCCATTGACATGACCCCAACGCCTGGTTTCGAAGAAGAACGAACACGCCACAAAAATAATGTTTGGCGCTTTGCGCGGATTTCTTGGATCCCCGCTGGGCCCTCCTTGGATCCGCGGGGGGGGCGGTTGGACCTAGGCTGGCGGGCCCTACCATTAAGTCGGGCCTGTCCTTCTACACGAGGAATGCCCCCAAACAGTGCAAGACAGTCTGGGACGGTTCTTCGAGCACTTCCTTCGAACTTTTTGAATCTTCTGCGACTGTGCCTCGTTGTTCCGCCAAAATCCCCCTGTAGGGGGACAATGCCCGACCTCAGGCTGGCGGGGCCTACGGGCGCGGCCGCGGCCGTGGCCGCGGCCTCGGCGCGGCCCCGCGCGGCAGCGGCGGCGGCGCGCCCGCGGGCGCCGCCGAGGAGCCGCCCGCGCCCGAGGAGCCGCCCCGCGCCGCGGCCGCGCGGGGGGCGCTGGCGCGGCGGCGGCGGCCGCGGCGCCGCCCGCGCAGCGGGCGGAGGCGGCGCCCCGGGCGGAGGGCGCGCCGCCGCGGCCTGAGCGCAGCGGCCCCAGAGGTCCAGCGCATCATTCAAAGCGTGAGCGACCTACCACGCTTTCGCTTCCAGGCAGAACCGAGTCATGCCACGCGCCTCCTCGTCAAGCGGCCTGGCCAGTACAGGCCGTAGTTTGGCATCGCTTGGTATCTCTTGGAAGCGAGGGTGGTCAAGAGCGAGGTAGGTTTGTTTGCCCACTAGCATCGAACACATTCGGGAGGGAATCTTTGACGCACAGCCACACAATGAATCGTCGGTTCCCCAGAAGACATGGGAACGGCCCGCCCCCGCGCCCTGATCTGGACGCCCGAAATGGGTACGGAAGGAATGGGTACGATGCCCAACGGCAGTTCCTGTTCACGCCGCCGCGGCCCGTGTCCACTCGAGACAGGAGGCCGCCTGCCCAACAGCGGCCGTTGTTGGTTCGGGGCAGCATTTGCTGTTGGGCAGTGTGCCCACTGTTTCCGTGCCCCTTTCGGGCGTCCAAGCCCGCGCCCTGAGCGCAGCGGCCCCAGAGGTCCGCCGCATCGAAAACATTCAGGAGGGACAAAAAAAACACAGACACAATGAATCGTCGATTCCCCAGAAAACATGGGAACATATGGGGAGTGGGGGGGGGAAGACGAAACACCGAAAGATACGGGAAAATATGGGGAATCTTTCTTTTGGTGTGCATTTATTTGTGTGTCCTGGGGCCCCTTCAAAAACATCCAGACGGAGGTGCTTCGTGCTTTTTCGGCCTCGGGGGGGGCCCTCGCCAGGCCCCAGGGCCGTCAGGATGAAGAACCGGGCCCCGGAGTGCAGGGGTGCAGGGGTGCCGAGGCCGCCGTGCCAGCTTGGACCTCCATCTTTCGGGAGGAGGGAAGTGGAGGAGGAGGCGGAGGAGGAGGAGGGAAGTGGAGGAGGAGGAGGAGGAGGAGGAGGAGGAGGAGGAGGGAGGAGAAGGAGGAGGAGGAGGAGGAGGTGGAGGAGGAGGAGGAGGAGGAGGTGCAGAGGCGCATTGAACAAGAAGGACTGCGTCGGGTCTCTGGGGCGGCGCTGGTCGGCCCGCGCACCGGCGCGGCGGCGCGGCAGCGGCGGCGCTCGCCGAGGCGGCGCGGAGGGCTCCGGGGTCGCGGCGCGCTCCACTGCTCGCACACTGCCTGCTCGCAAAGCATTTGGGAGGCATCGTGGATCCCCCGCGGCGGATCAAAACACACACACTGTGGGAAAAAATCTCAAAAAAAACACTGTGCTTTTTTTTGCGTGTGTGTTTTTGTGTGTGTGTGTGTTTTTCCCACAGTGTGTGTGTGTGTGTGTGTGTGTTTTTTCCCACAGTGTGTGTGTGTGTGTGTGTTTTTCTCCCACCGGCCATTTGCGAGTTTGACTTTGCGAGTGGTGGAACGCGCTTGTCCAGCGGCGCGGGCGATGGTTTGGGATCTGCCTTGGCTGGGGCTCTGGGGGGTAGCACGTTGCCCTCGTAGAGGTCCTCCCCCGCCCCCCAGGGTGCTGGTGGCAAATCACATCCGTTGCAATCCGCACCCTTCGGAGTCGCGCTGGGTGGCCCGCTGGTCTGATCGGAGGGAAGAGAAGTGACACAGATCGATCCGATCGACCCGATTCGATATCGATTCTGGTGGACCGGATCCGACTTGTTCCCAATTTTCGGCGATCCGATAGTTCCCGAGACTCCTGTGCATGGCGTTGTTGTGCATCCTGGCGCTACGATGCGTTTTCCCAATCTTGTTCGTTTCCTCGCTTTCGGCCTGTGGGGGCCCTTCTGGGGCCCCCGGACAATAAAATAGCAAGCTCTTCTGGGGTCGGGACTTGTGGGGCCGTGCACTGACAGAGTCAGATATCTCCGGACGTCTGGGGAGGTCCACGATGCCTCCCCGAGCTGGGGACACGGGTGTCTCGAGCGGACTCCTCGCGCTGGTGGTGATGGTGGTGGTGGTGGTGGTGTCGGTCTGCCTTGTTACTTGTTGCTTCCCTTGGCTCGAATTGCCCGTCGCCGTGAGGCAGCCCCGTCCTCATGGCATCATCATCATCATCATCAGCATCAGCATCAGCATCAGCATCATCATCATCATCAGCATCATCATCATTATCATCATCATCATCTTAATATTTATCTTCATCTTCATCTTCATCTCCATCTTCATCTTCATCTTCATCATCATTATCATCATCATCAGCAGCATCATCACCATCATCATCGTCTGCCTTGTTGCTTTTTCTTTCCCCTAGCTCGAGTTGCCCGCCGCCTTGAGTCAGCCGCGCAGCCGCGTCCTCATGGCATCGGGTCCTTCTACAGTGTTCGCCGTGTGTTGGCCTCCCCTGGCCCTCCACGGGCTCCAGAACAACTGTGTGACACGGCCCGGCGTGAAGAGCTCGTCCTGGGGGGAATGCCCTGGA